CCCCAAAACCCCAAAACCCCAAAACCCCAAAACCCCAGGAAGGAGTGAAGTTATTGAATTTGGAGATATGGTGAGTCAAGATGATGAAGACTGCTTTGGAAGACTCAATCATAATGCTATAGGGGTCTAAAGTTCATCATTTTTGGTTGCTCTTCTTCATCATTGTGAATCAGTTGTTTAAATTTTAAAGCAAAGTATACTGTAGATACTCTAAGAAAACATCTGAATCATCGTTACTTGGTTCAGTAGCCTCTCTGTATTCATTATTCTGGTTTTATCGCAAAGAGGATTTTTTGAGTAACCTTAACTGCCTTTAAAAGTATAATAAAAGCATACTACTAGTGTGCTTATTTTTATCTGTGTATGAGGAAATCTTTTGCATTCTCTTTGTCAATCTCGAAATAATTACCCTAACTGAATAAGGAATATTAGAAGGCTATAAGTGTTTATAAAATCTAGATACGCTGGATCGCATAAGTACGATTATTTTTTTCTAAAATTACGAACCTGGACTTACTAATCGAAGACTTTTTAGGAACACTTGAAATAAACTTTGCTTGAAGAAATCAGAAATATGTGGGGCTTTAGTTGTTCTTCCTCTTCACCACTCTTAAACAAATCATTCATATCTCCGAGTTGGGAATATTGATCAAATTTTAGCAACAAAATTATTATTCCACTCTGTATACCCACTTTAGAACAGATCTCGGACTATTAGCACAACATATCATTTACAGGTTTATCACAAGCAGAGTAGATCTTTCACCCCATGTGTATCAAATAATTGTCAATGGGGTGCACACAAAAGCACATACTCTCTAGTCTAGAAGCCTTTTCCACTCCTCCTGCTTCTTCCTGACCACTTCTATGTATTATGAACTCGAGGGTACCCTCCTCAGGTGAGATCTGGCAGTTTCTCTAGAGGAAATGCTTATTGTTTAAGGGAGCAAAAACTTTCAATGCATTAAAAATCCCCACCTTAACTGGCTCTAAGCTCGATCAAGAGTAAGTAGAGATCATTGGTGTTGATGGCTGTCTTAGTTTAAAGTTTAGCACTCACTTACTCGTCTTTTAGGAATATCTTCCGGTTCCTATAACCTTAATGGCACTTAGAATTGAGCTATTTGGTGAGTGATATGAAACGGAGCGAGACATTTTTAGAAAGCAGAGGAGTAAAGGTTCTGTAGAATTGTTAAAATACTCAAAATTGATGCCATAATGGGTAGAACTTGAGTAATTTCTCTTCTCAAGAATATTATTTAGGATCTTATTTAGAGCTTTATTTGTTTTACCATCTTTTTCCAATCGAGTTTGATGCTTTAAGATGGTCATAACCCCAAGTGCATTAGGTTGAAACTTATTGAAGAAATATGTGCTATGAATTTTTTGGAGGTTTGCTGTAAACTCTTCAACTTTGGCATTTAATATCAACTGCAGGACTCAGTTTAGATAGTTCTTGTCATTATTCCCCTACGAACATTAAAATATTGCAAAATATATCTTACAAGCCTAACAATAGTAGAGAAGAGGAGATCAAAGAGAGGGTTATTGGTGGTGAAGGGGTGAGTATAAAGCCTTAACTCTTAACTTTGTCATGCAGGAGATATAAAAACAAGGATTGACCTTTGTACTAACTTTGTTTATAGATGCCTCTTATTGATAGAAACCTTGGCTACTTCTTGCTCAAGTCTCAAAGAGATATTTCATTAATAATGAAAAGAGGTGGTTTAAGTATGAATTATCTCATATATTCCTAAATTTACCTCTCTTATGCTAGAACCTCTCGGGCTAGAACCTTCATGCTCAAATTAGTTATTAAAACTTGGATTCTCAGTTCTAGTTTTCTCTTTCGTGCAGCTATAATTCCGTCAATAACTACTTTAATTCATCATTTCTTCTATAAATACATAAAAATGAAAATATCTAGAAAAGTCAAGCAAAATTTCGAACTTTTAAAATCAGAGAGAAAACAATGCTCAAGCCAGACTCATTACCAGATAACCTAGAAGGCTTCCTTAAAAATACTTCTTTAACTGTGAAAACCCTCAAAGCTAACAAAAGAGACATTAGGAGAATGGCCAATGAATTCATGAAGAAAAGGGAAGCAGTACTTCAATTTTATCCTATAGTTTCTCTAGTCATCCTAAAGATGAAAAACCACTTAATGTCAGAAATCAACAGCTTTATTTATGAATGGGTAAACTTAAGATAAACAAAAAGTTGAAGAACAGAGTCTATCCTTCATTTCCTAGAAAATTAAGTGGAACTCACATAAAGAATGGATGCCACAAGACTATTGTCAAAACAGAGCTAGCATTACTGATAATACCGATAAGTCCATCACCATTCTGAGTCACAAGCCTAAGTAGGAAATAGAGACCGATACCACTCTTAAGAGAAACAAACACTTTGTAGTTGACAGAAACCCATTTGACCCGAATAAATATGCAGAATTCGAAGGGATTGGTGAAATATTTGAAGCAGAAATTCCCCCTATTCTGAGATTGCTGATACAAATTTTATGAATAACTCTTTAACCAAGAAAAAGAGCAAAAGAACGCTAGTTATACAAGAGTAATCAAGAATTTAAACAATAAGCTGCAGAATACTCAGAATAAGAATAAGCCTATTGTCAAGCTCAAGAAGAAGGTCAAAATAAGCTCTTTAAAGCATCAGTCATTGCTTCTAAAGGAAATTTTAGACTTAATATCACATATTTACAATCAGAAGACCCAGGCTCTGATTGAAATAGAAGCCTTTGATACTTTATTCGAAGAGTTCTTGTACACCATTATTAGGAAACTGTTTAGGATTAAGAATGAAATCAGAAACACATGCGAGAAGTCTCTGAAATACCTCCAGTCCTTCAAGGCCGAAGATAGTAAAATCTACGCATGTGCAAAGCTCTTAGAATTTGAGTCTGACAAAAATACTGCATAGAAGTTCTGCATTCTTTATTAAAATCATGAAATCTCCTGAGAAGCCTATTGGAACACTAATCTAGCCAGAAGAAGAGAAGTTTCATCTTGAATCTTCGAAGTTATTAAGAAGAACGTTGGAATATTCGAAAATGGTTCAAACACATTTGCCGAGAGAATGAAGAGAGGACTTATAGTTGATAGTTCGATATTAGTCAACAATAAGATGTTGGTTGTCATCAAGACCAAAGCAAAACTCCATATATTACCCTAGTGAAGCTCTTACATAATTTGTTACACAAATACACTATTCCTATCATCCAGATACTTCAGAAGTTTGCATACGAAGAAGGAATGCCTTTAATCGTAACTTTAAGAGTGCTTCTAGAAGAGTAAGTAGAATTCGAAGACCTCAAGTTTGCTTGTACAGACAACAATTTTACCAACAATCAATTCAAAGATTTTTCCAGGATCATATCTCTAAAATTAATGATGATCAGAAATTAAGAGGGAAATCAATGGCTGTATTTTACAATCACAAATAGATAAAGCCGCTTCATAAAGTACTTAAATGCATACCTGAAGTCTACCTTCGAGCACTTGAACAAACGAGGTTCTAGCTCTAGAGATTATTCGAGCATCACAACATGCCAGGGGCATGATAGATTAATTTTTAAGACTTCAAGGAATTAGAAACAGAAATTGATATGACTATACCGTGTAGGAAAATCATGAGACTACACAAGACACAACTGGCGCTATAAAATTTATACTAAAATTAAAAGATATAAGTTTAGGTCAGGAAAATTAATAATTTGACACTTTAGTGGATAATGAAAGTAGGATAATAAAACCTGAAAATATAATGCCTAAATTCATTGGAGATAATGAAAATGTCAGGATCCTGTGGCATTCACCATTTAAAGCCTGAATTTCCGGACTTAGACATTCTTGTTGTGAAGTTGTCGGTCAAAGACGACGATGTCATCAATTCACCAAGTCTTTGCATGAAGACGAAGGCAAAGAATCATTCGACCTCAAATACTTGATGTTGAGAGAAGGAATTCAAAGGAACAAGAAGATTATGGACATGAGTTCAGGCATCGAGAAAGGAAGTCACAAGATGTTTAAGTAATCCAAATTTATGTAATTAACTCAAAACCTGACTCACAACCAGGGGTTTTGGGGTTTTGGGGTTTTGGGGTTTTGGGG